TACACTTACGTTGAGGACGTTGAAGAAGCGCAGCCAATGCAAGAAAAGGAACGCATTACTTCCGAAGACACAAACTGCTAGTCACATGTAATTATAGCACAATACAAATGCTTTAATCTAAGTTGCCCCTTTTGCTCCAAACGTGCCCTTTGGACATCAATTGCCAAGAAACGATATCGAAATCACCATGAAACCAAAATCAAATCAAACATCTTCTGGAAGTTCTTCCACAAAACTTCTGGAATGAATTCACCCACTCAATGTCAAAGCATCACATTCTGCAAAAGTGATAAGATGATTATAACCATATAGATTTCAAATAGCTCTCCTAGCACTTGTGCACACCCGCCTAAATTATGCACGGTTAAGTAGACCTGAACGATCTCAGTTGAGACGCACTTAAACCTTTCATTCCTTATGTTGTTACAAGTTGTAACTAGTTATTGTTAATATACAGATTTGTACATAAATTGTCCTACTATGTTTCTACAGTACAAATTTGAGAATAAATCTGAATATACAGTTTTACCACAGGAAAGTTTATGAGACTCCAACAAGACTTTGAATCTCAATAGCATTTATGAAATAAACTATTCCTGGAATTTGTTGTCGTTCATAAGCAAGTTCATAAGGCCTAGCTGGACTTTACGTAAAGTTTGCATTGCATTTTCTTCTTTGGCGCTTTAAATATAATAGGCTGAAATCCAGATAAAAGCTACAGTATAAATGGACTTTCGAAATTTACTGGCTTTCAAAGTTATTTCAACATGGTGATCATGCTGGGGTCACAAGAAGCACGAGTTGCAGGGATACTTTTGATCCATTACCGTGTTTATCAGGGTATAAGGCTCAACTCGCATAAGTTCATGCTCACCGGCATAAAGCTGCTTCTGTCTCTTGCGACAAATCTTTCTCCTTTTTAGCTATACTTGCTGAAAGCAAATTACCTATCAAATGTAAATTTGACTGCATAAAAGTAATGAGTAACATCCCTAATGGCCAAACACCAGACTATAACATTATCATTTTAGTGTCCTATCACCTATCAAATTTCCACCAGTGAGGCAATCACCCAATTATTGGACACTACACTTTTTCACTCCATCAGAATATCGCCTTGGAACGGTTTTCATAAAGACAAACAGTAGTTTCCAATTCCTATTTAGGCCAAAATTATACCGCATCTTACACAGTCTGGCTATTTTTCAACCATACACAAGTTTCAGCGCAAAACTGATCACATTTTTATGAGTGACTTTAAATGGATCGCTCTTTGACGAGCAACTCATTCATAAACGGGCCCTGTATCCTGGTAAAAAAATTAATAACAATCAACAATTACCAACAACAAGGTTTAGAGTCACTTCTAGTGTACAAAACTGATAGCAATCCCTCAAGATCAGCAAGTTGATGCTTAAAAAACCTCCTTCTAACAACTGATATAAATTAAAAGAGAGCGATTAATTATATGTACAATAAAAACACAGATAGTATAGTCTTATCAGTTTGAAGTAGCTTAAATGCATTTATAGTTAATATCTAACGCCATTCACGATAAGTTCCACGCCCATTGTAACTTCCACGGCCCCTTGGCACATAACCTCCTCGCATTCCCTGATTATCGTATACGGTATCAGGATACCCTCTCCGGTTTCCTGGATAACCTCGATTGTTACTGACGTACGGTACGTTTCTATCATAACCGCCTCCACTACTGTATGCTTGATTTTGGTTGTAGCCAGACGCTCCATTGCGACCTCTATACCCACCGACATCATTGTAACTTCCTAAAGCATAGAAGTGAAGCAGATGCAATAATCATAGAAAGTATACGACAACCTCTCCCTCCCATTACATTGTACGCGCTCCCTCTTCCGCTATAGCGCTCATCTGAAGGAAAATGCTACAATGATGAGAGTTCCACTCATTCGGAAAAGAAGTGGTTAGTGGCAAAAGGATTAAAATGATTTCAAAAAAGTACCAAAACTACCACGGCCTCCCTCGCGCTGTATAAATCGGTGCGCTGACTCATCCAGAGTTGCTCGTCCGGGGACATCACGAGTGAATCCTATCTGAGGCCGGTAGTCATTACCATTCTGTAAACGACAATCGGCATCAAAGTACAGCTCTTTCAAAATTCCAAGGAAACTTACACGACGATCACTATAGTCACGGAGGGTGCGAGGTATTTCTTTGGCATGTTCTAACCGCGTTGCAGGAAAGATAAACCCTTCAGGATATTGAG